CTGAAATTAGGAAGCATGAATCCAACTTTGTTTTTTTTTCAAATTTGATTTGGCTATTCAGAGTCCCTTTTGATTCTATATAAATTTTCCTGTATCTCAAAAAAATGCTGTTGAGATTTTGATAAGGAATGTGAGGCCATATATTCACATACTCTCCTGAGTTATTAAATACTTTCCTTCCATTTTTTTCTATATTTTATTGAAGATCTTGTAAACTGAGATTTCACAATCATGTTCACTCATTTGTTTATGTTTCAGATTCTACAGTTTTTACCTCATTTTTCATCTTTATGCAAAATGACACCTAAACATGTTCTTTGTTTGTCATTAGAAATGATGTGTGAGTGGACCCTGACTTTGTTTTACATTAATTTGGATAAAAGTAAACTAATGTGTGAAGATTTGTAGCTGAAATAAGTTTGGATAAACTTATAAATCAGAATACAGTTTACAGGAGTTATTCATCTAGACCATATCTTCTCTTCTCAAGGACACTTTCCTTTTCAACTACATTTTGTAATACTATGAAGTACATATAAAGCCACAACTTCAAACATGCTGCCATCTGTAGACTTTAACTGACAGTATACCGTCACCATTGAGGCATCCACCTTCTTGAGAGGGAGAGCTATATCTGGGAGGAAGTAAAAACATTCTGTCTCAGGAGAAAGATGACCAAGCATTGTTCTGATTATTTTGAATATCAAGTTTCTGAGTCAGAAATGAGTTTCCTTGTATCACATTGTCTGTGATTTTGTTGAATGGCTGGCAGTCTTCAGGATGCAACATCTATTTTTTTCTTATTTCTGTTTCATTAGCATTAACATTAGCACGTATTTCACTGTTTGACATTTTACATTTTGCATATTTATGTGATTTTTAGTCTAGTTTTGTAGCTCTATGGACAATTTAACAAAGAAAACCTGGAACTTAATCGGGGGACCATTGCAAACTTCCATTTAAAGTGGTAGTTTTAAAACATATATATATATATAAAATAAGAATATTTAAAAATGAATAACAAATTATTTCTTTAGAGATTAGTCTATATTCTGATACAGAATGACCCAACAACTCTTATTCTCAGAAAGTCCACATTCTATTTCTTTCAAAGATATGTTTTAAGGAGATTTTTCTTGACTTAATTTGAAAACATTATATCCAATTGACTTTTATGTTCTTTTGAAGATTGAAATCTGTATGATTCAACCAAATCCATCTAGATCTAGATTGGTACATAAATTCCATTTTTAGAAAAATGTCATGTTTTTTTATCTCCATATGGCAAACATCTTTCTAGATTCATTATCTTTCTGATTCTGCCTACATGCACTCTGGCATAGCTAATTTGCTCCTTAAAAGTCCCTACAAGTTGCTCTTCAATCCCTTCAAGTTTCTCTTTATTACATCAGTACCAAAACAACTCAGTGTGATCTGCTACGCTTCTCAGCAAAATAGGTTCTAGGCCTTGGGACTCACTTGGTTGAACTATACCAATATGAACATACATATGGTCTTGTTGTTATGTATCTAATGACCTGGTCCACAGTTAACTGCTTCATCAATGCTATTAAAAAATGCTGGCTACTCAAATAGTTTATAATTTTAATAGATTCAGTCTTATCTGCTATATTCTCATACCTCGTCTTTTTATTTTACTTTTATGTAAAAAGATTAAAATTAATTGTAATAAGTCCACTTTCAGACTGTTTTTTATACAATTGTCTGTTCATGAAGACATGTAAAGACAGAAATGTTAGGTCCCAAATATAGGTAGTTACATTTCTCCAAACTATCTCACATTTATTACATTGTTTATCTAAAATCACGTGTAAATTGTTGAGAAAATAACCAAGGGGAAAAAAAAATAACACTTTGCTAGAATCTTTGCCTGCATTTTTTATTCATAAATGCTTCTCAATAAAGTTTCATTAAAACTAGTTTAAAATGCTAAAATGTTTCACAACAGTTTTGATGGTTCTACACAATTTTAAATCCATATAGTGTATAATAGAAATACAACGTGAGTGTACTATGACTTCAATGAGTTTATCATTTAATCAAAACAGAAAATAAGTTTATTAAAGTATGAGGAAAATATGTTTTGAAAGAAAAGTATTAGAACAGACAATAGTAAAAGCTAATTATATATTGCTGTTTTAAAATACAAATTAGTCATTAATAACATTGACTACAGGTAAACAATTTCAGATGGAAATGCTATGTATTAACTCACAAATTTCCATTGTGATTTAAAAGTAATTTATTACCTGGTCCTATGTATTTACTGTAACTAAATTAACTTATAGTGAAGTTCTCTTGAAGCATCAGGGTTAAATGATGTGTTCAAAAATATTTTTATGCTATTATAATTTTCTGTTCTTTATTATATAAGTCATCTATATTTTAGCCCAAAATTAATATTTATAATTTAATGATAGCACAGTGTATGAAGAAATAAAATAAGGTTACAAGTTTAGTGAATTTAAACATGTTTTGATTTAGTAATTTAGGGAATGATCTTGAAATCCACATTTTAGTAAGCATCTCAGGGAATTCCAGTGTAGGCAGCCAAAATCTTCACTTTTTCAAGTTTGGATTTGGTAATTCACAAAAATAAAATTTTAACAACGGGTATAGATGTGAGACCATTTGCCTGATTATTCTTCAGTATTTCCAGGTTACTGCTAAGCACTGGATCTGGATATTTTTGTGGCACATGCATGCAACATTTCTAGAATGGAGTCATGGCTCCTTTAAACTTTCTTCTTTGTCTCTAATTCTTATGTCTTTTATTAACACTTTTATACTTACCCCTTTTCTTTTTCTCCAACCCTACTGGCATTACTTTATTTCAAGTGTAATGAAACTCACTGTCTCTTCCCTGAACTGTTGCATTAAACTTCAATAGACTTCTCGCCTCCTGTTCCATTTCAGATGACAAAATATTGCGAGATTTGTATTTCCAAAGACATAAAATTTATATTTTACATAAAATCTTTTCAAATGGCTTCATTATATACCAAATGAAGTTATCTTAAAGTTAATTTTAATGTAAGGCCCAGAATTGTGTTCCCAAGATGACTTTTCTCATCTTGTATAATCTTTTTTTTTTTTTTTGCTACATAATGTCTGCTTTATTTTGCTTCCAACTACAAGCCAATTAAATTGTTCACTGTACACCACTTGAGTTACTCCACTTGTCTATTTTATGTCTATGGAAGCCTGAGGTCAAATCATTTTCTAATTTACACAGCTGGAAGCAAATCTTCTAAAACCACATAATAACTTCTGTTCTTTTCCTGTTAACCTCATATTTAGTATTGTGTTATATAATGACTTACATATGAATATAATTTTCATTTCTAGAGTTTATATTCTAAGAATGTGGAGTCTATTTCAACCTTATACACCATCAGAACCTATTCAAAGCTCTACAGATTAGCCATTAAGATTTATCAACAAAAAACCTTGTTTTCCTATTTCAGCTTTTACTTCTTTTGAATCGGAGCCCACAGCTATCACATATGATTTTGCAGCAATAGAAATTACAGAAATGCATTCATTGACTTTAATATTTAATAGACATTTGTATAGAACTTGCTTTTGCTAGACATACTTTGAATCACTAAAAATATTGCATATATTCCGTGGGGAATTCTTAATATTATTTTCATAAATATATATAGTTGAAACAAGAAAACACAAAACAAATTATGTTACCAATTTATTTTGCCTATTCGAAGCTTTAATTTTTTTAAAAAAATATAGTTTATATAACTCAGCATAACCTGTAAATATCACCACTAGCTTTCATTGATCATATGAAAATCTTTTAAGCTAGCATAGAAGTGTTAATGATATAAGTACAATTATTAGGTATAATTATTGACCAAGAAACATTCTAGAAACAACTTAGATTGTGTCCATAAATTGAGGTATGTGTGATGATAAAATCTATTTGAATCAATTTGATGATCAAACTGAATACATTCACTTATCCATGTCATTTTAAAACTTTCATAACAAAATTTTAAATATAAGATGACTACATGTCACAATATGCTTTATTAAAAGCAATATTTACTATGTTAATATAATATAGTAAAGACCGTAATGGTAAAATGAGCTTCATGTTTAAAACAGAAATCTTCTATGATACCAATTATAGATAACAAATGGGAATTTCAATCTACTGTAGAAAGTAACATTTAAACTAATAATTTACAATTAAAAGTGAATATATTATAGATGATTTTAGAGATGAACTACTGGGAGTTATATATGCCCTTCAAGTAGCTCTTTGATAAGGAATAATTGTATAATGTTGTGTGTGCTGCTAATTCAAAATTACTATGTATATAACTTTTTCATTTAGAAATCCCCTTTAGTATAAGAACTAATGTGATATGGGAATATTTACAAATCATGAACATTTATGACATTTGATTTGCAGATAGATTCCCAGTTTGAACTAAAACTAGGCTGCTTTGCCTATGGAGGATCATCATTGTGAATTATCTTTCTATTTGTTCTACAAATACTCTTTCTTTTTAAAAATGTTTTTGATGTTTCCACAGAATTGGCATAGATACAAATTAGAAAATAAAATAGGTTTATGGCTACAAATTTCAAACCAATCCAAGAATCAGCTATTAGGAAACATAGATGGCTAAAAATTTGTTTTGGTTGGAGCGTGGGAAGCAATAAGAAATGTGTAATGTACTAAAATAATTTATTTTTTCGAATTATTTTATCTTACAAAATGTGTTTTAAAAAATTTTCTTCACTTAGCATAAATTTGACTTCATTATGTTCTATTAAGCTATTTAACACTTATGTATAAATATCATTTAAGTAATTGACATTATGAACTAGTTTGGGAATTCCCTTTTTAAAAAAATTTTCAATGTCCTAGTAAAAATAAATACCTATATTGAATCTATACATTACTTTGGGCAGTATGGCCATTTCATGGTATTGGTTCTTCCTATCCATGAGCATGGAATATTTTTCCATTTGTTTGTATCCTCTCTTATTTCCTTGAGCAGTGGTTTGTAGTTCTCCTTGAAGAGATCCTTCACATCCCTTGTGGGTTGTATTCCTAGGTATTTTATTCCCTTTCTAGCAATTGTGAAAGGGAGTTCACTCACGATTTGATTTTCTGTTTGTCTATTATTGGTTTATAGGAATGCTTGTGATTTTTGTACATTGGTTTTGTATCCTTAGACTTTGCTGAAGTTGCTTATCAGTGTAAGAAGATTTTGGGCTGAGACTATGGGGTTTTCTAAATATATAATAATGTCATCCGCAGAGACAATTTGACTTCCTCTCTTCCTATTTGACTACCCTTTATTTCTTTCTTTAGCCTGATTGCTCTGGCCAGAACTTCCAATATTACATTGAATAGGAGTGAAGAGAGAGGGCATCCTTGTCTTGTGCCAGCTCTCAAAGGGAATGCTTTCAGCTTTTGCCCATTCAGTATGATATTGGCTGTGGGTCTGTCATAAGCTGCTCTTATGATTTTGAGATATGTTTCATCAATACCTATTTTATTGAGTGTTTTTAGCATGAAGGGGTGTTGAATTTTATTGAAGCCCTCTTCTGCATCTATTGGGATAATCATGTGGTTTTTGTTATTGGTTCTCTATATGTAATGGATTATGTTTATTGATTTGTGTATGTTGAACCAGCCTTGCATACCAGGGATGAAGCTGACCTGATCGTGGTGGATAAGCTTTTTAGTGTGCTGCTGGATTCGTTTTGCCGGTATTTGACTTGCATCAATGTTCATCAGGGACATTGGTCTGAAATTTACTTTTTTCTGTGTCTCTGCCAGGTTTTGGTATCAAGATGATGTTGGTATCATAAAATGAGTTGGGGAGGAGTCCCTCTTTTTCTATTGTTTGGCGTAGTTTCAGAAAAAAATTATACCACCTCCTTTTTGTACCTCTGGTAGAATTTGGCTGTGAATCAGTATGGTCCTGGGCTTTTTTTGGTTGGTAGGTTATTAACAACTGCCTCAATTTCAGGACTTATTATTGTTCTATTCAGGGATTCGACTTCTTCCTGGTTTAGTCTTTGGAGGGTTATGTGTCCAGGAATTTATCAATTGCTTCTAGATTTTCAAGTTTATTTGGGTAAAGGTGTTTACAGTATCATCTGAGTGTAGTTTATATTTCTTGAGATTGGTGGCGATATCCCCCTTATCATTTTTTATTGTGTCTATTTGATTCTTGTCACTTTTCTTTTTTATTAGTCTGGCTAGTGGTCTATCTATTTTGTTAATACTTTTCAAAAAAACAGCTCCTGAATTAATTGATTTTTTTGAAGAGTTTTTTGTGTTTCTATCTCCTTCAGTTCTGCTGTGATCTTAGTTATTTATTTTCTTCTGCTAGCTTTTGAATTTGTTTGCTCTTGCTTCTCTAGTTCTTTTAGCTGTGATGTTAGAGTGTCAATTTTAGATCTTTCCTGCTTTGTCCTGTGGGCATTTAGGGCTATAAATTTTCCCATAAACAATGCTGTAACTGTATCCCAGACATTCTGGTACATTGTGTCTTTGTTCTCACTGGTTTCAAATAGCTTATTTATTTCTGCCTTAATTTTGTTATTTACCCAGTAGTCATTCAGGAGCAGGGTGTTCACCTTCCATGTAGTTGTGTGGTTTTAAGTAAGTTTCTTAATCCTAAATTCTAATTTGATTGCTCTGGGGTCTGAGAGACTGTTATGAGTTCCATTCTTTTGCATTTTCTGAGGAGTGTTTTACTTCCAATTATGTGGTCAATTTTAGAATAAGTGTGATGTGGTGCTGAGAAGAATGTAAATTCTGTTCATTTGGGGTGGAGACGTCTGTAGATGTCTATTAGGTACACTTGGACCAGAGCTGAGTTCAAGTCCTGGATATCCTTGTTAATTTTCTGTTTTGTTGATCAGTCTAATATTGACAGTGGGGTGTTAAAGTCTCCCACTATTATTGTGCAGGAAGTCAAGTCTCTTTGTAGGTCTCTAAGAACTTGCTTTATAAATCTGGATGCTCCTGTATTGGATGCGTATATATTTAGGATAGTTAGCTCTTCTTGATACATTGATCTCTTCATATTATATAATGCCTTTCTTCATCTTTTTTGATCTTTGTTGTTTTAAAATCTGTTTTATCAGAGACTAGGATTGCAACCCTTGGCCTTTTTTGCTTTCTATTTGCTTGGTAAATGCGTCTCCATCCTTTGTTTGAGCCTATGTGTGTCTTTGTACATGAATTGGGCCTCCTGAATACAGCACACCGATGGGTCTTGACTCTTTATCCAGTTTGTCAGTCTGTCTTTTAATTGGGGCATTTAGGTTAATGTTGTTTACATTTAAGGTTAATATTGTTACGTGTGAATTTGATCCTGTCATTATGTTGATATCTGGTTATTTTATCCATTAGTTGATGCAGTTTCTTGATAGTGTCGATGACATTTACAATTTGGTACTTTTTTTGCAGTAGCTGGTACTGTTTTTTTCCTTTCCATATTTAGTGCTTTCTTCAGGAGTTTTTGTAGGACAGGCTTACAGATGACAAAATCTCAGCATTTGCAAAATCTTTATTTGTCAGTAAAGGATTTTATTTCTCCTTCACTTATGAAGCTTTGTTTGGCTGGATATGAAATTCTGGGTTGAAAATTCTTTTCTTTAAGAATGTTGAATATTGGCCCCCATTCTCTTCTGGCTTGTAGGGTTTCTGCTGAGAGATCCACTGTTAGTATGATGGGTTTCCCTTTGTGGTAACCCAAACTTTCTTACTGGTTGCTCTTAACATTTTTTCCTTTATTTTAACCTTGGTGAATCTGATGATTATGTGTCTTAAGATTTCTGTTATTGAGGAGTATCTTTGTGGTTTTCTCTGTATTTTTTTAATTTGAATGTTGATCTGTCTTGCTAGGCTGGGGAAGTTCTCCTGGACAATATCCTGCAGAATGTTGTCCAACTCGGTTCCAATCTCCCATCACTTTCAGGTACACAAATCAAACATAAGTTTGGTATTTTCATGTAGTCCCATATTTCTTGGAGGCTTTGTTTGTTCCTTTTTTTTTTTTTCTCTAGTCCTATCTTCATACTTTATTTCATTAAGTTGATCTTCAATCTCTGATATCCTTTCTTCCACTTGATCAATTTGGCTATTGATACTTGTGTATGTTTCACAAAGTTCCCATGCTGCCTTCTTCACAGAATTGGAATATACTTTTTGAAATGTTATATGGGACCAAAAAAGAGCCATAAAGCCAAGACAATTCTAAGCCAAAAAAAACAATGCTAGAGGCATCACACTACCTGACTTCAAACTATACTGCAAGGCTACAGTAACCAAAACAGCATGGTGCTGGTACCAAAACAGATATATAGAACATTGGAACACAACAGAGGCCTCAGAAATCATGCCACACATCTACAACCATCTGATCTTTGACGACCCTGACAAAAGCAAGCAGTGGGGAAAGGATTCCCTGTTTAATAAATGGTGTTGAGAAAACTGGCTAGCCATATGCAGAAAACTGAAACTGAACCCCTTTCCCATGCCTTATACCAAAATTAACTCAAGATGGACTAAAGACTTAAAAGTAAGACTTAAAATCATAAAAACCCTAGAATAAAACCTAGGCAATATCATTCAGGACATATGTATGGTCAAAGACTTCATAACTAAAACGCCAAAAGCAACAGCAAAAAAAGTCAAAATTGACAAATGGGATCTAATAACTAAAGAGCCTCTATACAGCAAAAGAAACTAAAGAAACTGTCATCAGAGTGAACAGGCAACCTGCAGAATGGGAGAAAATTTTTGCAATCTATCCACTTGACAAAGGGCTAATATCCAGAATCTACAAGGAACTTAAACAAGTTTACAAGAAAAAAAAAAATCAAAAAGTGGGAAAAGTATATTAATGGACACTTCTCAAAAGAAGACATTTATGCAGCCAACAAACATGAAAAAAAACCTCATCATCACTTGTTATTTGAGAAATGCAAATCAAAACCAAAATGACAAACCATTTCATGCCAATTAGAATGGCAATCATTAAAAATTCAAGAAACAACAGAAGCTGAAGGGGTTGTGAAGAAATAGGAAGGCTTTTACAGTATTGGTGGGAATGTAAATTAATTCAATCATTGTGGAAGACAGTGTGGCAATTCCTCAAGGATTTAGACACAGAAATACCATTTGACCCAGCAATCCCATTACTGGGTATATACCCAAAGGATTATAAATCATTCTACTATAAAGACGCATGAACACTTATGTTTATTGCAGCAGCATTCAAAATAGCAAAACTTAGAACCAACACAAATGCCCATCAGTGGTAGACTGGATAGACTGGCAAATGTACACCATGGAATACTAAGCAGCCATAAAAAAATAAGTTTATGTCCTTTGCAGGGACATGGATTAAGCTGGAAACCGTCATTTTCAGCAAACTAACACAGGAACAGAAAACCAAACACTGCATGTTCTCTTTCAGAATTGGGAGCTGAACAATGAGAACACATGGACACAGGGAAAGGACCATCACATGCTGGGGCCTGTCAGAGGCTGCAGGGATAGGGGAGGGATAGCATTAGGAGAAATACTTAATGTTGATGATGGATTAATGGTGTAGCAAACCACCATGGCACATGTTTACCTATGCAACAAACCTGCCTGTTCTGCACATGTACCACAGAACTTAAAATATAATAAAAATAAAGTAAAATAAGCATATATGTAGATACACACACACACACATACACACACACACATAGGGGATGCATATGCATATTTCTCACGTACGTATATTTTATAGTAGTGAAGTCTAGGTTTTTAGTGTATCCATTACCTAAATAGTGAACATTGTACCCAATAGGTAATTTTTTAACCCTCGCTCCCTTCCTATCCTACCACCTTTTGATGTCTCCAATGTATATTATTCTACTCTTTATGTTCACGTGTACCCATTATTTAGCTCCCACTGATAAATTCAGTATTTGAATTTTTCTGTTTCTGAATTATTTCAGTTACAATAATAGCCTCCAGGTGCAAAAGACATGACTTCATTCTTTTGTCTATATATACACACACATGCCATGGAATATATGTGTACATGTGTGTACTTTCATACATATATATGTATACACACACACACCCTGGAATATGTATGTATTTGTGTGTATGCCTCCAGTGATAGATACTTAAGTTTATTCCGTATCTTTGCTATTGTAAATAGCATTGCAATAAACATATGAATGCAGATATCTTTTTTGATATAATGATTTCTTCCATTTTGGGTACATAATCAGTATTTGCATTGCTAGATCAAATGGTAGCTCTATTTTTAATTCCTGGAGAAACTTCCATACTATTTTTCATAAAGGTATACTAAGAATATAAGCAGTCCCACTGAGACCTCTCTTTTTTTTTTTTTTTTTTTTTTAAACTTTTTAGTAGTAGCCATTCTGCCTGGTATAAAATATGAGGTCATTTTGTTTTTAATTGGGTGATCAGTGACGTTGAGCAATTTTCATGTTTGTGGCCACTTGTATATCTTTTCTTGAGAAATGTCTGCTCGTGTCCTTTGTCCACTTTTTATTAGGGGTATTTGTTTTTTCCTCATTATGCTGTTTGTGTTCCTTATAGATTTTGAATATTTGCCTTTTGTCAGAGGTATAGTTTTCAAACAATTTTTCTATTCTATATGTCTGTTTACTCTGCTGATTGTTTCTTCTGCTGTGCTGAAGCTCTTTAGTTGAATTATGTCCCATTTGTCTATTTTTGTTTTTGTTGCATTTGCTATTGAGGAGTTGGTTATAAATTATTTGCTGAAGCCAATATCCAGAAGAGGTTTTATTAGGATTTCTTCTAGAATTTGTATAACTAAAGGTCGCATATTTAGGTCTTTAATCCATATTGAGTTAATTTTTGTATATGTTAAGAGGTATGGCACTAGTTTAATTCTTCTGCATAGGGCTGTGCAATTTGTCAAGCACTTTTTACTGAATTAGTTTTATTTTTTTTTCTCTAGTGTATATTTTTGTTGACTTTGTCAAAGATCAGATAGTTTTAGGTATGTGACTCTATTTCTTGGATCTCTATTCTGTTCCGTTGATCTATGTGTCTATTTTTATACCATCACCATGCTGTTTTGGTTACCGTCTATAGTCTAGTAGCATAAGTCAAAGTCAGGTAATGTGATGATCCCAGCTTTGTTCATTTTGCTTAAAATTGCTTTGGCTATACCGGCTCTTTTTTTATTCCATATGAATTTTATGATTTTTTGATAATTGCCTAAAAAACAACATTGGCAATTTCACAGAGATTATGTTGAATCTATAGATTGCTTTGGGCAGTGTGATGGTTAATACTGAGTGTCAACTTGATTGGATTGAAGGACACACAGTATTGACCCTGAGTGTGTCTGTGAGGGTATTGCCAAAGGAGATTAACATCTGAGTTAGAGGGCTGGAAAAGGTCCACCCTTAATCTGGGTGGCACAATCTAATCAGCTTCCAGCGTGGCTAGAATATACGCGGGCAGAAAAATGTGAAAAGAGAGACTGGTCTAGCCTCCCAGCCTGTATCTTTCCCCTGTGCTGGATGCTTCCTTTCTTTGAGCATTAGACTCCAAGTTCTTCAGTTTTTGAACTCAGACTGGCTCTACTTGATCCTTAGCCTGTGGACAGCCTACTGTGGGACCTTGTGATGGTGTGAGATAATACTTAATATACTCCATATATATGTGTGTATACATATATATATACATATATACGTATATATGTATATATATATTCCATTTATGTGTGTGTGTATATATATATATATATAGTATATATATTCCATTTATATGCATATAAATTCCATTAGTTCCACCCCTCTAGAGAATCCTAATACAGGTAGTATAATCATTCTAATGATATTGGTTCTTTTTTTTTTTTTCTTTTTTTTGAGATGGAGTTTTGCTTTGTTGCCTAGGCTGGGGTCTTTCTATCCATTAGCTTAGGATGTTTTTCCACTTGTTTGTGTTATCTGTGATTTTTTGTAGTTCTCCTTATAAAAATCTTTCACCTCCTTGGTTAAATATATTCCTAAATATTTTATGTGGCTGAATTGCCCTCTTGATTTGGTCCTTGGCTAGATCACTATTGGTCTATGGAAATGCTACTGATTTCTGTATATTAATATTATATATTGAAACTTTACTAAATTCATTTATCAATTCTATGAGTTTTTTGGTGGAGTCATTAGGGTTTTCTAAATATAAGATCATCTAATCAGTCAACAGTGACAACTTCCTTTTTGAATTTGGTGGTTTTTTCTTTCTATTTCTGATTGCTCTGGTGATTACTTCTATTACTATATTGAATAAGAGTAGTAAATGTGGGCATTGTTGTCTTGCTTTAATTCTTAGAATGTTTTCAATGTTTTCTTATGATGTTGGTTATGAGTTTCTTCTACATTTATTATATTGAGGTTTGTTCCATCTGTGCCTAATTTGTTGAGTACTTTTATTATAAATGTATGCTAAATATTATCCAATGCTGTTTCTGTGACTACTGAGATGATCATATGGTTTTTGTCTTTAGTAATCTTTATGTGATGTTTA